CTCGACGGCAGACTCTCCCTGTTGTTCGTCGACCGGAGGCACCGATAGTCGCAATAATAGCCAAACCAATGCACCCAACAATTCAAACATGAATTTAAACCCAACCGACGAGACAAACCATTTGCAGTCAACTGTCCCGCAGTCGACCGCTCCTTTATCTCCATCCACTTCATCCGTCTGTCCGCTCACCACTTCTTACGACTCAAGACTCATAGCAGGACACTATTCAAGACTCGGATCCTTTTATGGCTCCTCTTATACCGAACAGAACTCTTTTTATACCTCCGGAACCAATCCTTTCTACTCTTCATTTGTAAGTTTTTTTTTGTAAATATTAATAAAACTTTGTTTAAGAAGAATGTGTTAAAAACAGGCAAATCCTTATGATTTAAAGGACCAGAATGGAGGACCCGGTTGGGGAACATTACCCCAAACCACGTGCTATCCCTATGAGCCTACAATATACAGCCCTTACGGCGAAAGGTATAACGCAATGGATAGCGCGACTCGACGTAAGAACGCCACCCGAGAGACCACTAATACGCTGAAAGCCTGGCTCTACGAACACCGCAAGAATCCCTACCCAACCAAAGGGGAGAAAATAATGCTCGCAATCATCACTAAAATGACATTAACTCAAGTGAATAATTGAAATATTATTTTAAAATAATTGAATCAATGAACTGATTGGTTGATTAAGGGGTGATTAATGTATGAAATGGTGCATAAATTAGGTCTCGACGTGGTTTGCAAACGCTCGGAGACGTCTGAAGAAGGAGAATAAGATGACGTGGGAGCCCAGGAATAAGAGCACTGATGGACACGACTCCGATGATAAGGACTCGTGCAGAGATAGTGACGACAATTCATCAAATATCGCTGATAACCAGTGCCTCAATGGCGGCAATACTGCTAATAAGCTATCGGTTAAGAAAGAATCCGATTCTGGCTCTGAAAAGACTAATACAGGTGTGACTGCACTGACACCCCATAGACGCACCGATTCCGGTGAGTCTCTAATTAATTGTTTCGTTTTTATTTATTTGCGATAAGTTTTTGGCTTTAAAATGAATTGAAAAGGTTTTAATGATAAAAATGAAAAATATAGTTATTAATGAAATTATTGGAGGCTTTGATTCGCGTGACTATTGATTAATGAATTTATTTATGAGTTAAAACCGAATATTTTTTTGATAATATTATCGTTGAGTCGTTAATGAATAAAACATTATACGACCAAAAAATGATCTAATGGTGAGTTATATTTAATACATGAAAAGTAAGTTAATTTATAGGATAATTCATTTGAAGATAACAAGCAATAAATATCAGTTTGATTTACAAAAACATTAAAGTCGAGGGAATTAAACAGCTTTTGTATTACAAGAATAAAAATAAATAAAAAATTAGTTTAGGTTTTAGAGTAACATAATTGTTGGCAAAGAGAGAATCACTACTGAAAAGGAAAGGGATTATTGAGCGAAACGATGGAAAGAGAGTCTTAATATAAATAGCTATCTATTTGTATGAACACATTGTTGTGTGTGTAGTGAGTGAATGAGAGAGAGAGAGAGAGAGAGAGAGAGAGAGAGAGAGAGA